TCAAAAAAATAATAACACAACCAAAATAGAACTTTTTTAAAAAGAAAGGCTCATGTTCGTAGTTAAGACCAAGCTAAACATAAATCACTTGAACTGAAGTGAACATTTTTTCCCCTCCTTATTCTTCTCCCTATTCCTTTCACTGCCCTTGGAATTGAACTTCCCTTCTTTTGTGCTGGCATGGCCTTGCCACTGGTTTGGAAGGCCAATTTATATAACAAGCTGGTGCTGGAGAAAACATCTGCCTATGAGAAATGATGATGTTACAAGTCTCTGAAAAGACCTTCAAGAGATAAGAGATAGACTAAAGGGAAACACTTTGAAACTCTTAAAGTCTACTCACTTCTTTAAATGTAAATTTCTTTTGCGATATTCAGTTCAGGTGCATGTCTTATGTAATCATTAGTTAGGTGAACCAAAACTTGCTGTTATAACTAAATAGAAAAGACTCAGTTTGGGATTTAAAAAAAAAACCACACAGGACTAATGAAGTCTAGACACTGGTTTATGCCAATAGGTGCGGAAAAGACTAAACGCTGATGAAAAAGGAAACTTTGGGTATGGTCATGAGACACGTAGACACTGTTAATCAATAGTTAAAGTAGATAAGACATTGTCTGTTTTAGCTATAAATACTGAATGTAAACTTTATCTCAGGGAGCAGGCTTTTTAGCAGATACCCGAGCCTATTCCCTGATTCCCAGTTTTCAGAATAAACTCCCATTTTCTCCTAGCTTCTGCCTCCCTCTTTGATTGACCACGAGAGATCGCAGCCGACTGATCAGGCTGTAACTACTTTTTATTGGTGATTTCACTACTTGAAATGCCCCCAACCACAATGCTGAAGTGCTTTCCGGAATCCCGTGTGTAGGGAGGCTATGATGTGCCTTACCGAGAAGTCCATGTTCGTAGGCTTTGCTTAGGCATGAGGCCAGGGATGTTGGCCATGAGTTACATGTTAATGGGTCAACAGTATATGTTCCATAACGTGGCCTCGAACAGAAATGCACAAAAAGCAAGGCTGTGTACCGACCGGTTGATGAAAAAGGTGGGACAGAGGCTGGCAGGAACCTAGCCCTATACTTCCTCCAAGGGACAGTGGTTCCATATCCACCAATTCAGTGTCTGTGGAGACTTCATGGAACATAACCATCAGGAATCAACTGTATGCACACCCTCAGACACACATATGCCGTAAGAGCAACCTGGGCTGCTCTCGGTTCCCTGACACACCATGCCCTTCCAAACCTCAGGCCTCCGCTGAGGCTGCTCCCTTGGTCAGGAGTGCCCCTTCACCTCTCAACTTTCCACTTACCCTTCAAGGCCCAGCTCAATCCATTCAGTAAATATTTAATGAGGCCGGGCTCGGTGGCTCAGCCTGTAATCCCAGCACTTTGGGAGGCCAAGGAGAGTGGATTGCCTGAGCCTGCGGGTTCGAGACCAGCCCGGCCAACTTATAAAATAAAAAATAGCCAGATGTGATAGCATGCGCCTGTAGTTCCAGCTACTTGGAAGGCTGAAGCGGAAGGATTACCAGAGCCTAGCAGGTCGACGCTGGGGTGGCCGTGAGCGTGAGTGCCACAGCACCCCAGCCTGGGCGAAGGAGTGAGACTCCAACTCAAAAAATATATATATGTATTTAATGAATGTCACCTGTGTGGGCACTGCTCTAGTTGCTTGGGATAGCCCAGTGAAGAAAACAAACATCCTTCTTGTCGTGGTGACAGAACCCTCTGCCCTGTGCCCACATCACCTTTGAATTAGAGCATCCTTAATTCAGTGAGTAAGTGCTGCAATAGGTAAGTGCTAACTGTGTGCCAGGTGCTGTGCTAAGCACTTCACATGCACTGGTTCATTGTATACCTACCCCGACCATGGGAGCTTGAGCGGTATCAACACCTGCAGGGATTCACAGACAATGAAGCCAAATCTCAAAGGTGTCGCCTCTGGCACAACACAGGAGCTGTGGCTTTTTTGTGTGGTGGCCATGTTTCCCAGGAGACCTGGAGTCTGGGGATAGTGGCTAAGTGGGATTTATCAGTCGAATCCCTTTGGGCCTGAATATGACCAACGGCCTCCCCTTTGACCACACTGCCCCAGCCACACCGACCATCTCTCTTCCACCGCAGGCCCTTTGCACTGGCTGCTCCGTTTCCCAAACCTTGTTCTCCCGAGCTGTTTGTCAGACTCTGTCCTTCCTACTCAGGCTTCAGCTCAAATGGCACCTCAGCAAGGACTTTCTGATCCATGCTGTGAAGAGTCCCTCACTTTTCCTCTTTATGCAGTCCCTCCACCATGGTAATCACGTGAATGAATATCTGTGGTTTGTATATCCACAACGTGGATGCTGCCATTTTGTGTGTGTTCTTAACTTACACACATCGTATTGTGTTGTAGATCCCATTCTGTCTTTCTTTTTCACTCAGAATAAGGCTTTGAAAATCTGTTCTTGTTCTCTGTGTATCTGATCTCTTGCTTCTAGATGCTTCTCCATGCTGCATAGACTCTGTCCCCATTCACTTTCCCAGGGCTGGACACACATGGGTCCCAGCTCCCAGTGCCACAAATAATGCTGCTGTGGACTTCCTGGACCGGGTCCCCTTTTGAGCCCTTCTGAGAATCCCTTTGGAATTGGGATTTCTATTCACAGGGCATCTCTGCACTTTGCCATTTGATGAGGCCAAATCATCCTCCGGGAGCCCTGCGCGCCCACCACGTCCCCACCCCTCCACGTCCCTGCCAACTCTGGCATTCTCCAACTTGCTAAATTTAGTCAATCTTTAAGTGACACCTCAGGTCTTTGTTTGTATTTCTTTGGCACTAATGAGTTTAAGCACTGTCTCCTTGAGTACTCATGAGCTACTGATTTTCTCTTCCATAAACCACCAATGCCTGTCCGTTGATAAGGATTTTTTTCTTTAGGGAATGCTCTCTGCTTCTTGTTTATTTGCATAAGTTCCTTGTATGTTCCAGGTCTTAGCCCCTTACTGATTTTACACATTGTAATTTTTCGCCTCGTGGTTCGTGGCTCGTGCCTTTTACGTTGGGTTTAAGAAGCACTCTCTGCCCTTGGAAGATTTTCTCCTCCATGACCTCTATTAATTGTATAGTTTTACCTCTCGCCTTTGGTTTTTAAATCACCTTGAGTTCACTTTGCATATGACATAGGTGGATGCTTCATTTTATGGTTCTCCAGATAGCAAACCACTGCCACTCGTGTATAGCCCTCTACCTGCTCAATTTTTCTTTCCTTTAACACAATCCATATTTTGGAATAAGGTGACTTCTGCTTAACTGATTGCCACTGACTTCTCTCGCTAGGCTTGAGTTCCTTGAGAGCAAGGTCCGTGTCTGTCTTGTTCCCCCTCAATCCCCAGCCCTAGATGGGGCCTAGAACATGGTAGAAGCTCGAAGAAGATGTGTTGGCGGCAGGGAGCGGGGGAAGCGGAAGAGAGGGCGTGAGGCGCAGGGCAGAGCGTCCTCCCGGAACGGGCCCCAGCTCTACCCCAAGCTCTTCCCCCACAAGAGTCCCCGCTTCTCTCCAGGCCTGGACTGTATATTGGGGCAAGCCCCTGGGGGCGCTGACAAAGAGAAGCCCGCCACCTGGAGGACACAGCTTGCCATGCCCTCAGCCAGAGTGCCAACATCCAGGAGGTGCGGGAGCATCGCCAGCTGGACGCCTCCAGCCCTGCAAGATCCACTGGATTGCACCGGAGGGTGCCCATGGTCCAGGTACCATCTGGCCTCTGGAGGTGGTGACCCGGGGTGACTCTCGGGGCAGCAAGGATCTCACTGTGCTCATCTGTAAAGTGGGAAACCGTGGACTCATTGAGCTTAACTTCAAGACTGGTACACTTGGAGGGACCTTAGACCACACAGCTTATCCCCCATTCAAAAGGAAGGAAAGTGAGGCCAAGAGACAGGTAGGCCTGGCCTGAGGCTGTGCAGTGAGCTGAGGTGCTCTTGCCTGGGGTCTCCTCAGTTGAGGGGGCTCCTCTTGGGGCCCTGGGAGCAACGGGCCGTGCCCCGCCCTATGCAGTTACCAGGGCCTGTGCTCCCCCTGGAGAGCCGGACCTTCCCCCAGACTGCGGGAGTCCCCTGAGGAGGTGACCGAGCCCCCCAGCGGGCCAGACCGGCTGAGTGTGTCTTTTTAGCCCCTGCAGCCTTGCCAGCTCAATCACCCTCATTCAGGCCACCCACCACCCCTACCCTGTCTGGCCACACCCTCTGGTGATCGTTCACCTTCCGCCTGCGGGCTCCAGCCCACCCCTGTCCTGTCATCCGCGGCTCTGCCTCCTCCTGCCTCTGCCCTATCCCTTCCTCCGTCCGCGGCGCCTCCATACTTGTTTCTTCGCCTCTGTCTCTGTCAGCTCCAGCCCCTCACTGTTCCACCATCCACTCTGTCTCCAGTCCCCTCACCTCCACTTACCCCAGCATTCTCTTCCTGTCACAATGACCCACCTCTGTCCTGTCACCTGCAAAAGCTCCACCGACTCTTTTTTTTTTTTTTTTTTTTGAGTTGGAGTCTCACTCTGTCGCCCAGACTCGACCTGCTGGGCTCCAGCGATCCTTCCGCCTCAGCCTTCCGAGTAGCCAGAATTACAGGCATGCGCTACCACGCCCGGCTGATTTTTTGATTTATTGTAGAGATGAGGTCTCGCTGCCCAGGCGGGTCTCGAGGTGGAGGGCCTTGAGCTTTGACACTCAAAGGTCCTATCAACCTCAGCAGGCTCCTGGTGGGGACAGTCCAGGAGCTCCTGTGGCCACAGGTCTCCTCTTGCGCCCTCGAGGTTTCCTCTCCTGATGCTCAGATGGCTCCACACTGGCCACAGAGGAGGCTGACACGTGCCACCAGCTGCCTCCTCCCAGGCCGTGGGGCTGATCACAGTAAGGACTGGGTCTCCTCACCCAGTCCTGCCTCCACTCTAGCCTTCTCCTTGCCCTAAAGGTCGAAGGGGCCAGGGTGAGGTGATACCTGACTGCTTCCTCTCCTTTCCCAGAGTACCAAGCACGGGGCCCCACACATCCTCCGAGGACTTCAGCCACCCTGCTACAGAATCCAAAGGCCCTCTCCCCTGACCAAGGTGAAGAACTGCCGAGCCCGGGGGTGGAGCCAGCTGGCCTCCCGTCTCCGCCCCAAACACCCGGCCCACTTCCAAGAATAACCACCACAACAGCTCGCAAGCGCAAAGGGCGCAACTTCTGCAGGAGTTCCCCCAAGCTCTCCCCAGCCCTGTGACCTTGCCCCATTACTCCAGTTCTACATATGCAGAAACCAGACACGAGGTTAGGGGCCTTGCTTCAGGCCACACAGCTGGCGACCCTGGGAAAGTAGCTAGTAGGGCACAGCTTCTAAGTGGCCCGGAATCCCAGGGCCCAGCTAAAGGGCCCACAGCCCGAACCAGTGAACCGCATTGCTGGCTCCTTACATGGGACACTGCTGCCGCTGCTGCTGTTACTGCTACTACTTCTACCAGCATTAAAGTCTTTGCCGGGAAGCTCTCTAATCCCAGAGGATTTGCCGGAGGGCCTTGGGATCCTACCCATGGCCCGGAGCCTGTGCTTTTAACCGCGGGGCTCAAACACCGGCGGGTTCACACTGGAGGCTATCACTTGCTACTGCAGTCGGAACCATCATCGCTGGTGGGGAGGGAGCGCCCGCAGTTTCCGACGTGGGG